GAAGATAATTGTGGAGCTTGACTAAGGATTTGAGCTGCTTCAAAGGCGGCCGGTTGGTCTGGCACTTTGCAAAAAAGAGAAGGATCACCATCAAGGAGCTCTTGTAGGGTCATAATAGCAAAGCTAATCTGCTCTTGGGTAAGGAGATCGATATCTGGATTCGCTTCTTCAGCAACAGCCTTCCCTTTGCTATCTGCGGCAGATCCAGATTTAGCCAGAGGATCCATCAACATGTCCAGCTGGGCAAGAAGTTCATTCTCCAAATTATCATCAATCATGGACACATCAGCAACAACACTCTATAAAATTTGAAGACAAAAGATCAAAAAATAGCAACTAGCAAATACAGTGACAGATTTCAAGATCTAAGCAGATTTCAGAACAGTGAAACAACCTCAATGTCATCAACATCAACCTGCCTAACAGGAGAGGCTACAAGTGTAGGGGTATTCTCTTTGTCTGGGCTTAGATCAATAAGTTCATTCGGTCTAACTGTTTTAAAGCTTTTGTTCGCTATGCATGAAAAGAATCTAGAACCCCTAACCTTTGTGGTTGGTGAAGGACCATCGCCAGATTTTGTACGAGAGGAGCCAGAATTGCTTTCGCCACTCCCAGCAGATATATCTTCAACAGGATCTGTTGTGGCAACAGATTCAAGAGAAACATCTTCTGTTTTATCCGAGGCAGAAGTGGACTCTGGTGGAGAGGCAAACTTGATGAGTTTCTTGGTTGCAGATGGTTTCATTGCTGGCCTCTTGATCCCTAAAAAAAAAAAAAAAGAAGTTAGCAGAGAACATGTCACAAAGTTGCAAGCCAAAGCGAACTTACTTCCGGTTCTTCGCTGCTTGGAGGGAGTATTCTCCTCCGTGGAATCTGCAGGAGTAGCAATTTTCCTTTTGACATGAGTTTTAGGAGCTCTCCTTGGCAGATCTGGCTTACTGATTTGGGCAACCATGGCAGATTCCAGGTCCCCACTTTTCTCTGCAACTTTCTTTTCTTCAAATTTTTTGGTGACTGGTCGAGGAGCCAGAACGGAAATATTGTCCAAAACTCCTAGGAACCGAGGATGGAAATAGTCTTGCCACCAATTTCTGTAGGAAGGAGTACAACTCAGTCGGAATGGAGGATCTGGCAAGATCATTGTTTGCAAAGTTTTTGTGATTTCGGCAAGCTTGGCGGTCAAAATGTTTGATTCCCCAATCATAAATCGAAGAGGATAGCTGTGGTTGAAGGAGAACAGTGGCGGGAATGGTATGTCTTGGTAGTTTCCAAGCTGCCAACAAAATTGGTTCGGTGCATAGAGCTCCACGCCACATCTGGAGTTAAGAGTATTCAAACTACAGGCAGCCAACAAACAAATCCCGGGAGGTCACACAAACAGACCAAAATGATCTGAAATCTGAAGATTTGACATCGGCCTTATACCATGAAGGGTCGTGAGATCTGCTTAGAAACACAGCAAAATCTGCATCAAATCTGTCAACAGAAAGAGAAGCAAAAAATTTGAAGCACTCCTCAAAACTTCTCTTGTTCTCCATGGCATTTTTAAACATAAAGCCGTAAGTAAGCAAATTTCGAGCTGGTACAGTAGATGAAATAGGAGCAAGTGCTGGAAAATAAGAGTACAACCACAACTGTAAAATCCAAAGCGGCCCACCACTAATGCCTAAGGGATGAGCTGTGACATCTTGGCAGCTCCTATATAAATAAGCAAGCAGAAAAGGACCCAGAGCTAATCATCTACCATGTGCTAAAGCAGCAGCTAATGGGATAAATTCTTTAGTTGGGCTCTTACCAGCAGAAAACACCATATATTTGCATATTAAAGTAAGCAGAAATGAAATGTACTCTTCAGCATTGACAGGCTTACTTTTGTCATAGGCAGATCTTACAAAAGCTGGATAAGAGGGCTTCAAATCTGTGTTGTACTCCACACCGGGTGGCAAAGTTAATAATGCTGAAATCTCTTCTCCTATGCAAGGCAATCCAGTTAACGAACTAATATCAAAGAGGCTCACAGACATGGCTCCACAAGGAAAACGAAAGCAATTAAAAGAGCCAGACCAAAACAACAAAGCCGAACCCATGATTGGCTTATCCATGGTGAATTTGCATTTGGATAGTTGTATGAATTCAAACAAACCCACATCTTTCCAAATCTGGCCAAAAGCAAGTTCCAGGCGATTTATCCAGTCAACCCATTCTGATTTCCTCCAAGCTGGCCAAGCTTCGAAAGATCCAACCCATTTACTCCAATCAGGTTTCACCTAAAAAGGGAGAGGATGTTCTTTTGGCTGTGGTTTAATAGAGGCAAGAGAAGCCGGCGGATGAGACAGAAAGTATGGACCCAGAATCTGGGATTTCTTATGAGGAACAAAAATCTGATTTGAATGGCATGGCTTCTGGTGTTGGAGTACCCAGTTTATATCATCTTGTTTACACCATAAATTACAAAATTTTAGATTAATGCCACGTGTAAAATTTTTATTGGCTGGAGGAGTTTTGAGCCATGTCAGATTCGGATCCTGGGCCCCATGACAGATCAGCACGTGAGTTGGCAAGATAAGAGAGATAAAGATAATGTTGAGTAATTATCTTTTGAAACAGAAAGAGATAATGGCAGTTGGCAAGATAGGGGAGGATCACATTTAAAAAGGAGATTTTATCTGATAAAGTCCAGGTGGCAAAATCTAAAAGGGGTTTAGACTAGGTCAAAGGGTGAGGTGTCCCACTACTCCAACAAACTACCTAGGATTGAGTAACTGCCGGCACAAAGAGGAACAAAAAGGGAACTTCAGCACAGAAGGAAGGGACGGCCAGCCCTACTAAAAAAATCAGCAACTTTTCATACTTTGATTTTCTCTGCACATGCTTCCAGATTTCGGTTTTTCAGCACAGATTTCATATTTCAGCACAGATTCCATTAGAATTAGGTTGTTTTTCCTCATTCCAGTAAACAAATTTGTCCCTATATTCAGTTAAAACAATTTCTTTTCATGCAATGAACTTCAATCCTTCAAGTTTATGCAAGGTATTGTTTTCTTTTTATTTGTAATTAATTTAATGTTTATGTTAAGTAGCATTGCTTCAATGATTACTTATGTGGCCTTCATGCTTCTTTCCAATTTCAAGTCCTTCAATTTATTCACTGTTCACGTCATTTATTTTATTGTTAATGTTTAATTTCAGTGTTAATTAGGTTTAATATTTCAGATCTGCAGCAGTTTAATTTCCAAATCTGTCAATGGATTGCACTTTTAGTTTCACCATAAGCATGTTTAATTTAAATTGGGTACATTTCTTTCTCACAAGTTTATTTTAAATTGCAAATAATTTAGAGTAATTAGGATCTGTTAATTTTAAGTCACGGTAGTGTTTAAGTCCTTGGAGTTGTCCAAGGCAGATTTCGTAACCCATTCTGCAAGAAGGCATCCCTCCCTCTTACAAATCGTCTGAAGGCGCAAATTTCATTTTAATCCAACGTTCTTTCCGCCATCTGCGAAGAGGTCGACCGTGAGGAAGGAGAGGGTCATTGAGAAAGTCCTCTTTTCTTACTTTCAGAAAAGTAAGTGGCACGCCCGCATCAGATTTCACACGTGCAAGGCCACTAGAGGATTTTTGAGGAAACAATATCATCTTGAAGATTTTGGGTTTGGAAGAGCTTAACCAAATCTGCAAGAGGTGATCTCAAGAAATGAGTGGCCTTAGAACCGGCCATTGAAGCAGATCCGGCAGATGGCAGCTCTTTGGGATGTGAGGATTTGACACCAGCCATGGAAGGAGCAGATTCGGTGGGAATGGATTGTTCTTCTTGGTCGCCGGCCATGGAAGTAGTTTTTGCAGGAGAAGGTTGTTTGGTGGAGTCGCCAGACATGAGTAAGGTCGATCTGCACATAAAAAAAAAAAAAGAAATCAACCGGCAGTCACGAATAAGGAGGATTTTCGGTGGGGGGCTGCTGGACATGAGCAAGGCAGATTTTTGCAAATAAAGTATAAAAGAAAAACAATCGGCAATTACCTGTGGGGGAAGAAGGATTTTCGAGGGGACCATTGAATATGGGAGTAGATCTGGACAAGCAAGGGAAGAGAGAGCAGCCGGCAGTAAATCTTGAAAGCTGAAGAAAATAGGTTGCCGATTTTGGTTAGAGTGGATCTGGAAAAGTAAAAAAAAAAAAAAAAAGAAGAAGGAAAGGCAGTCGGCGGTGATGTTGGCCCGTGGAAGATGAA